AGTGTTAGTCCGTAAAGTATGTGTTGGGGTCTGGGTGAACTTTGCAAGAGCAAGGAGTAAGTAACGGTAGTGAAGAGATACTGCAAGTACTTAGTCTCAGCCTAGGCATAAGTTACCAAAAAATCTAGGTGATACATGTGTGGGACATGAACCGCTCTAGTAGGTTTACTACGAAGATAAATTAGTTCTAAGGAGCCTTAGTGGCAGTTCCTCTTTGGGGAGAATATCTGATGACACTAAGTTGATTAGAAGGTATAATTGAGTAACTCAAGTAATAGTGGGTTATAGGTATGGCATCTAGTGTAGTACTTAGTAATAGAGAACTACTTAATTAGACACTCAAAAGGTGTAGGCATAGCTAGAATGTATTCTCGTTAATGTAACAAAGTCAGGGGTGGTCCTGTGGCTGCCCTGACATTCGTAACCAAAGTTAATAAACATGCCAAACCCCAAGTGGTCACCTTAACATTAAAAAAAAAAATTTGATGCAAAGTACACATAATGCATTCTATAGCAAAATCAATATTAAATTAAAATCAGGGCTAGAGTTAGGTTAAATTTAAGGTTGGATTAGAGTAAAAACTTCATGAAGAATTTTTTTTATTAGTTATACAATAGGAGTTACTTTAGTAAAATTTTGAGATATTAAAAGAGGTGTACTAAGTGCAGGGTGTACTAAAAATAAATGCTCTATAAGATAATTATTATTTTTAAATATTATTAAAAAAATTTATTTAAATATTTTAAATTTTAAAAAAAATATATTATAAGTAACTTATATTTATAATAAATTTTTAAACAATTTTGTCTAAAAAAGCCTACGAATTAAGGGATAGTCAAGTTTTATATTAATAAAAAAATAGAAGGTGAATTTTAGCTGTTTCATATTTTTTGAACAGTGACACTCGAAACCGATTTGAAAGTTAAAAACCGAATTGAATTGAATTTAAACCAAATTTAATCACCTGAATTTACATTTACTATATATGAGTGCTGTCAATAGAAAACCTGTTATCGGTCTTTCAATATACAGTTGGCTCTCTACATGCCGTCTATGGACTATCTACTATCGGATATTCAATTATATATTGTGCCGAACATACCGTATATCAGGCACGAAATATAATTGAATATCCGATGATAGATTGTCCATAGACGGCTAACTGTACATTGAAAGCCCGTTGACAGGTTTTCTATTGATAGCACTCATATATAAACATAAATATAAACATAACCATAAACATAAATTAATATAAACATAAATATAAGCATAAATTATTTACTATTAAAGCAGTTGCTATTAAACGGTTAACTATTAAATGTTTTAACTTGAATTCAAAGTTAATTCAAAGTTGAATCAGACAAATCGATTCCGACCTCTAGTCGCGACATTTATTGTGGCAGCTGAAGCTGAGATCGGCTAAAGCTAAGGTTTTGAAATATTTTAATATTAAATTTTTAAAAAGTTTTTTTTGAAATATTTTAATATTATATTAAATTAAAAAAAAAATTTTTTTGAAATATTTTAATATTAAATTATAAAAATTTTTTGAGATACCCAATCTCAGCTTCAACCAATAAAAATCCGAATCAGGTTACGATATAAATTTTAAATAGATAAAATTTTAATTAATGAATATCCATGGATACTCTCAGGCTGTTTAAAGTAAGGATACGTATCTACACGATTATTTTTGTGTTTGTGAATGACCAAGGTTGAAGGAACCGACCTCTAGGGGACAGTCAGACATGTGCACCTCGCGTGAGATATGATGTCATTTCACGCAAGCACTTGTCAGATGACTCGACAAGCGAACCGAGGTCAATTATGCAAAATATTTTTAATATATATAACTATATATGTGATTTTGGATAATTAACTAATTAACTAATTAACTACATTAATATCTAATTAACTAATTATCTACATTAAAACTTTATAGAAAAAATTTTTTTACAATAAACTATCAAGGTCAGGTTATACAGTACAACATAGTTTAGTATGGGATTCTGGAAGTCATTTCCCGCCATTTTCCGCCAATTCCCACCGTTCCCGAAAGAACACAATCCAGATTACATGTAAATAAATCAAACAGCACTACAGATTAAATAAATCAAACAGCATTATAGATAACTTTATAAGGATTGTGATCTTTTTTACTTTTTTAGAAACTGACATGCGGGAATTTGAGTTACAACGGTATAACGCATGTTAGATATTAACCGTAGTATTTGGAAAACTGGTATGGGCATGCTTAAATTTTAAAGCCCTATTACTGTATTAGGTATACCATTATCGTTAATCGTTATTAGTTAAATAATTCGATTGGCTAACAAAATAAAAGTTATAGTTATTGATATATAAGCTTATATTTTAATATATATATAATTATATATACTATATCTGATATCGATATACGTACGTATGTATAAAACATGGTAAAAAATGTTTTTTAGCTGTACGTACGTACCAGTCACTCTAGTCTCATAAACACAGTCACATGAAACAATAATCATGAACCAACAGGAAGAGATTAAAAATTAGTCCAAATCCAGATCGGTCTTTTAAGTTAGCAGATCATTCAAATCTGACCTAGTGATTACTAGTGATTGATTGAACTAGTTTCAATTATTAGTAATGATTAGTGATATAATTATATCTGCAGAATAATTTGATTGATATAACAACACGTGAAATAACAGACCCTATTGCTTTTATCGGATATGCAAGAATTATTGTTTGTAACATCTAAAGTTATTAAAGGTGTTAAAAAAAGGACAATAAAGTAAAGACGAAAAATTGACACCATAATCAGCTTTAGCTTGGCATTTGAAATCATTTGATAACAATAACGGTCAATGACCATAAGCGGAAAATAATGCGGAACATAATATGGAAAAAGAATAAACGAAGAGAAATTTAACGTTTAAACAAAAAAAGCATTATTGATAATTATTGGTGTAAAGATTCCAATAATAATAGATTTTATGTAACATGTAACGGTAACATAATAATAATATAATAAAATCATAGTACTGTACTGTATAGTAGAGGGAAATTATTTAGCATTAGTCATTTAAAAAAGAAAACAAGCATACACATAACGTTATACAATTATCTAATGGCACGAAAGCCTGGAACCTGTTTAAAAGTTAAATTAGAAATGGGCAAGTTAAATTAGAAATAGGTACTAGTAATTATTTTAGTTAATGTATAAAATTTTGAAAATAATAAAGATATATATACATAATAAATAATAAAGAGAGAGATATATAAAATAAATAATAAATAATAAAAATGAATAATAAAGATATATATATACGTATATATATATATAATGATATATAATGATATATAATGATATATAAATAGGTTCAGTGTTGTTGGTCAACTGCAATAATGACCAGTGAAATAGATCAAGCAATAGGAATTACATTTATTTTTTAAGTTAAAATCTGGACCCTCCAAATACTGCAAAATTGTAATACAAATTAAAGCTACTGCAAGGTAAAGATAAGGCGTGAAAGGATTGTCTTTGCCACATTAGTTATTGTTAAACATAATAAGTGAAACAAGAAATTAGGACTGCAGGACTGGATAAATGTTTAGATCGTCGCAGAAAAAGCAAATATTTAGTACAAAGTAAATACAAAGTAAGCACAAGTAAGGAGAAAACAAATTACATATCTCGTGTAAATGAGTACGTACTTATCTGTTATGTATCATCAATATATTCAATACTTCAATACATTCAATACATTCAATACATTCAATACATTCGATATGTGCGTTATAATAAATGAGCATGTGAGCGGGTGTTTTCACGGTGACTATTGCAGCAAATACGTCATGCACGTGCACGAAAATGAATTAATGGATTATGATCCCATGGATTTAACGTCAAATAAAAGATCATATGACGGGTAATTTAAAATAATGGATTAGGATAGCGTTAGTACGTACGCACAAGATATTAATAAAGACAAATTCAACGGAGCAATTTTTAATCATGTATATTTTTACGTGTATTGTCACACATATGTGCCTCACAACTTTATTACGTTATAAAAAACTTGGCGTTTTGTTGTGATACTATTTATGTCTATGATACTATTGCTGAATACTATTGCTTGATGCTATTGCTTGATGCTATTGCTGGATGCTATTGCTGGATACTAATGTTGGATACTATATATGTTATACATGTTATATATGTTATATATGTTATATATGTTATATATATTATCTGTTATATATGTTATATATGTTGTGTTAACATTTATTTTTAGATCTACAGAATTATTTTATCTTTATGAAATGAAATGCAAACCACTAAGAAATATTGTATTCATATTGTATGTACACACTTTAGAAATACATGATACTATATCAACATTTAAGGAAATTGAAATGGTTATTGTATTTTTTTTTAACCTTATGTATACGTATTATACATATTATACGTATTATACGTACGTACGTACGTATTATACGTATTTCGCGTTTCAAACGCTATTCATAATCAAGGTGTCAAAGTTTTTTTCCAATTATTCTAACACTATGAAAGTTGGAATTTTTATATCTATCCAGTTCAGAATTTAATGAACTTAGCGTTTCATCAAATTCTTGTGGCGATTGTCCTAAATATGAAGATAATGGATTACGATATGATTCCATTATTAATGTAAAATAACTTTGAAACTACAAGAAAAAAAAAAAAAAATTTTTAATATTAATAAATAATAAAATATCGATATCGATGCCAAAAGTTTTTGATAAGTAAACGTACCATCTCTCCAATCATTCCAGATTTTCCAATTGGTATTTTGCGTGTTTGTTTTTCCAATGAATCGAATTTTTGTGTATTTCGCATTAAATTTTCCAACCCCTTTAATATATCGACTTCAATACCCTTCATTTCCAAGAATGCACGACCTGTACATTAAATAATCATTATATCAATATCAATATCAATATCAATATTAAAATTAAACCATATTTAATATTTATTAAAAAGAAACATACGACTATCACATAATTTCTTCATTATCGGTCCAGAATCTTCACAATCGCAACTACCAACCACAATTTCAACTATTCCTTGCGGTTTTGTTACTCTGACCATTTCATCAATCGCTATTTTCCAATCTTTTTCACTAAAACTTGAACTCAAACAACTCATATGAACATAATCAAAAGAGTCATTCCCATATGATAATCCACTAACTATATCCATTCGTAAAATAGCAATATTAGGTGTAAGCTTAACTTTATGACATGGTGATGCTTGGATTCCTATAATATGTGATTTTGGAAACTCATTTGACATATCTCGGATCCAGTGTCCAGGCCCACACCTATTATATAAAAAAGGAATAAGTATCTCTTAGTAAATATCTCGGTAAAGATTTAAAGATTTAAATATATAAAAAGAAGAAAGTGATAAAAACTTACGCAACATCTAAAATATGTTTTTCTTCAGTCTGTAATTCTTCTCTGATATCGCAACAAAAATTTCCTTGCCAAACATCTTTTAATATTTTATGTTCCATCTCATAGAGATCTATACAACTTTCATCGCGCATATCGTCATTGCAAGAATCTTGAGTATCTGATCGTTTGAGTTCTTTTGCACTGGATTTGTTTTTGGGTTTTGACCCTTTGGTACTTTTCTTATGGTCATGATGTAACATCGACCTTGTGGATTGATATGAATCAACTGGATTAAAAAATTGTTGTTTTGTGGACGTTTTTCTAGCAATGCTCTTAGAATTACACAGCCCCATTTTTTTTGTTTTCTCTCGATAGAAACAAATGAAATAAATGAAAGATTGTCCAAAAAATAATTGTGAAAATATAATTGTGAAAAAATAATTGTGCGTTGTAAATATTTTAAAAAGGATTGAAGTAATGTATTTTTTTTTTTTTTTACGAATAATGAATGTTAGTTATGCAACAAGTTTAATATTGCAAAAAAAAAAAAAAAAAAGGAAAAAAAAACGAGGGTAGAAATTTTTCTTTAAAGACAGAAAATCTGCTTATTTTTGTGGATGAATAAAAAAAAAGCTTGACTTTATATTTAAAAACAATAAATGATAAATGATTTTCACGATTGTCTGTTTTAACAGTTACAACTTTTAACTGATAGAAATAATGCTGATCAGAAATTAGTATAAAGGTCATTTGTACGCAATAGAAATTCCTACTTGTCTATCCGTCTATCCGGACTATCCGTTTTATTTTTGTGAATCGTGGTACATATATAAGTACGTACGTACGTAATCCATGTATGTTATTATTTTGCTTTTTTGAAAATCGCTTAACCAAAATGCCATATGCAATGGAGATCCATTAATATTATTATACTAACGTTAATACTAATGCTAAAACTTGGTTCCGCATAACTAAAGTTTTGTAAATTCCCATTCCATTCAAATTTTATTAATTATTATTATTTTTTTTTACATCTGTCTATGCGCGCTTTCGTATGAATGTTTTTTTCATCTTGTCCAAATATTGACTTCAATACCTGCTTTTTGTTACTTTTTAAGCTATGTGCATGATTCAAATGTTAATAGTCCGCAGTTTGTTATGCATTTATCCCGTTCATTTATTATTTGCCGAGTACAAATAGCATTCTTTGGATAAGTTGATGTCCATTGATTGAGTTATTGAATATGAATAAATGCTTCATATGTTTACCGGATGACTCCCCGATATTCAAATTGCTTACGCCATGTTTCCATGTCCGTCATTATTTATCAGTTATACAATATTTACGGGTGTATCAAGTCCGTCAATTATATACTGTATATATATATTGAACGTTTTTATGTTTATGTAAATTGGTTGTTGTTTTTTTTAAGGAGTGTCTCGGTTTATTTAGCTTGAAAAAAATATGTTTTTAAACATCAAATTATTAAAAACAGAAAACGTCAACTAAAACTGGAAAACCTGGAAACATAGATTAAAAGATTATTTTCATCTTTATGATTTACTAGAGAAAGATAGATAAAGATTTTTCATCTTTGATTGTTTTTTGTATGTACATAAAAAGATCCAGTCCTTGTTACTATCCATTATATGAATATAAAAGAAAACATATTGTGACAAAGATGATAGTAAACTTTGACATTCAAAGAATCACAATATTACAAATTCTAGAAATTAATTTCTTTGAGGATTTGGATCTTTGTTTTTATGTTTTCCATTATACTTTCCATTTTTGGTTTAGAATTGTAACCTATTTTCGGGTCACTTTCCTATTCTGTGCTTAGAGTTCTTGCATAGAAGTTCTTTTGAAACTTTAAATACATACGTACGTACGTACTTGTTTTTCCATCGAATGGTAACACTTTCTTTTTATGTATATAATATATATTTTTTTTGTCTTCGAGCTATAATAAATATGTTTATTTTAACTATTTTATTAATAAAAAAATCTTGGATATGAAAAACATTCTTCGACTATGGTTAGTGCTTTTTATCAACTATCTTTTTTTTAGTAAGTTTGTAAAAAAAATAAAAAATAATAAATATCATATATAATACATATTATAATGTATAATATTCATTAATAATAACTAATAATTAAAATTAATAATTAAATTTAATAAATATCATATATAATAAATATCATATATAATACATATTATAACAATAATATTCATTAATAATAAATATATATAAGATATAGTAAATTACTAATACATAATGCTAATTTGTACATACGTACGTATAACGATGAGCATTAACATTTTGCCATATATACTCATATATAATTATTAAAGAACAGGGTGAAACCTGAGTTGCGAAATAGTGAAATCCGCTTTGTAAATCGGGTTAGGGTGAAATCCGCGTTTTATTATGTTTTTTATTATATAAAAGCGGATTTCACCCTTGTGTTATGATCATAGCGGATTTCACTATTTCGCAACTCAGGTTTCACCCTGTCGTATTATTAATATACGTTTCCCCGATTTTGGGCTGTCAAAGACCGATCTTGGACTTAACCAATTTTGATCAACCCTGAATTATTCATGTAATTAATTTACAGTATACCATATTTCGTTAAACAAAAATACACAGATGACGTGAATCACGCATCTTTCCATTCGATTATTTGTCAAGTCAAAATGGAATTATTTGATTGGATTTACTTATTTTAGCACTTTTACCGCTGCAAAGGTCCAGAAGCCGTGGCTTCGTGCCAGTTTGGTGATAGTATGGTTGATCGGTTAATTTGACTTGTACTATAATATAAAACTTATTAATTGTTTCGAATGAATTGATTTTACTTTTACAAATCAATTATTTGTTTATTCGTTCTTTTTTTTTTTTTTCTTCTTTTCTTCCTATCCATCTGTGACTAACTCCGATTGATAATTATTGTGTTCATCCGTGTTACCACTAGTCAACTGATGATCGACCTCTTGCTACGTATTAACGTCAAAAAAAGAAACATTATAATGAAAAAATAGAGTACAGAATGAGCCTGGCCAAATCTGAAAATTTACGGACTAGTCCGAGTCTGGGCATAGTTGGTTTTTGTGAATTTACTACGTATTTTTCCCTAATTTTCGATAATGTTCGTTGATTTTCACCAATTTTCACGCATTTTCCCGAATTTTCGCCAATTTTCACTAATTTTCACTAATTTTCACTAATTTTCACTAATTTTCACTAAATTTTTACTAATTTTCGTTAATTTTCACTAATCTTCACTAATTTTCGCAACCTTTTTTTAAAAAATGTGATATCTTTTATGTGGTGTTAAGTTAGTGATTGACAAAGAATTAGCACACAGTAAGTAATTTCTTAGAAGAAATTTAGAAAGAATAATTATTTTTTTAAAAAAAATTTTTCATGTTACTGACCATGTTTCCTGATTTGTCAGATTTGAAACCTTGAGGAAATAGATAAATGCATCGGGTAAATGCTGATCCGGGTCTGGACTTGTTAAATAGTTTTAATTGGACCCTGTAACAATAGCGATAGACTCAATTAATATGTATTTAGATATTCAAGTTTACTAAAAAAACTCACCAGTAGTGTTTAAACGCCACCATCGAGAACTTTTGAATTTTGAAACTTGTCCATAGTTGATGATTTTTTTTAATCGGCTACCATCAAAAAAAAAAACACACCAATAATGTTTAATGTCACCATCGAGAAATTTTTGAAATTTTGAAATTGATTATAATCTAATGATTTTTTTAATCGATTACCATTATCAAAACTAAAAAATCACACCAGTAGTGTTTAACGCCACCATCGAGAACTTTTGAATTTTGAAACCAGTTTTGAAATTGATTATAATTTAATGATTTTTTTTTAATCATCAAAATTAAAAAAACACCAATAATTTTTAACGTCACCATCGAGAAATTTTTGAAATTTTGAAATTGATTATAATCTAATGATTTTTTTTTAATCGATTACCATTATCAAAATTAAAAAAATTACACCAGTAATGTTTAACGTCACCATCGAGAACTTTTGAATTTTGAAACCAGTTTTGAAATTGATTATAATTTAATGATTTTTTTTTTAATCATCAAAATTAAAAAACACCAGTAATGTTTAACGTCAACATCGAGAAATTTTTGAAATTTTGAAACCTGTCTTGAAATTGATTATATTCTAAATGATTTTAATCACCAAACACCAACGATTAAATGAAATTAACAAATTTTTTTATCAATTTATAAATTGATTTGTTATTCTGGCATCTATTACGATTGATCTTTTTTTTTAAATCGATTTCAATACATGTTATTTTTATTAATTGATTATTAGTCTAATTTAAAACGAAATTGTTTAACTATTTGTGTAATTAGGCTTGAAACTTTCTCGATGACTATTGATTTATTTCATCTTAACCTATGTAATAATTAGGTTTAAACTTTCTCGATGACAATTGAATTATTTTCATCTTAACCTATACCTATTTTTTTTTTAACTAGAAATTTTTGTTGTAAAACTGTACGTAATGTTAAATATTATTAAAATATTTTAGTATGTTTTTAAATAATTTAAATACATCTATTAAAAAATATACGTACTATATGTTTAAATGTCTTTTTAAAAACTATCCCTTAAAATAGTGTTGGGAAATTGGACAAAAAACTGCGCCACATTTTGTTTTGGACATATGTCCAATTGGTTTTGGACATAAATTAACTTTGAAAACAATTGGACAGTAATCTTCCCAACACTGCCTTAAAATGATCTACTTTTGGCAGAGGCCTTTTTCGATTTTAACAGCTGCTCTGCCTTGTTTAGTGCATCAGGTTCGCATAAGGAGAGCTTCTCCCTGCGTTACTAATACAAAGTAGAATTTCCAATTATATAATATAATTGGAAATTTTACTTTGTATTAGTAACGCAGGGAGAAGCTCTCCTTATGTGAATCTGGGTTACATCGACGCACCCCCGATGCACTTCGACGCACTAAACAAGGTAGGGCAGCTGTTAAAAATCGAAAAGACCTCTGCTCATACTTTTACGGCAAATCTGCAAAAAAATTTATCCAATAATTGTACATATTCACCTCCATTAAAGTGACGTGTTTGAATGATCTAACCAAATCATAAATGTACAGTTTAGAATTTGTCAGATACTGGAATTTTAAATTAATTATAAGTTTTATTCCGACAGGTGTAAATAAAAATTTTCTTATTATTATTATAAA